ATAAAATTTAATAAAAAATTTAAACTCTAATATAAAAAATAAAAAAAAAACCTGCACGTAAAAGCTAGTTTTATTCTAAAAGAAATCGTTAGTGTAATAATTCCAATAATTTTCAAGATTTAATTTTGGAAAGTGACATGGAGATAATTTTTTTATGTAACTTTTTTATACAATTTTTATATGTCATTAAATAAGAGAATATATTCGATATTATGGATTTCAAATGAATAAAAAAAATTAATTATTTAAATAATATGTAAATTTATATCAAAATGTGGTATAAAAAAGTTATCTTTCAATTATTTTCTTTAATTATTGGCAAGTGTTAATTACTAATTAAGATTTTAAATTAAATTAACTTACGAGTTAATACAAGGACTTAATGGCAGTCATTATTATTTTTGACTTACATGAATTGGTTTCCTTATTAGTTTTTACTCTTTTTTTGTTGCATTTTTAATTCTTACTTTAATATATTCGTTAGTACTATCTTTTTATTATCTACGATGTTATTGTAATTTATACTGTGTTTTTTATAGTTTGATGCTCTTATTTTTTACTTAGTCAAATATATTTAAAATAGTGTTTAAACCCAATCAATCTCATCAAACCATATCCATTTGATATAAGTTGGATTTATTTGGTTATAATATAATTATAGATTGGATTAGTTTGAAAATTTTATTAATTGATTAAATGGATTTGATTTTAAAATATTAAAATCTAATTCAATCTACACCTCGAATACCTTATAAAAAAGTATCAATTTGCATAATTTTTCTAAAACAATAATTAGTATCCACTCTAAATCAACACATTTATCAACACTAATTAGTTTAACTTTTAAATTTTGTAGTAAAAATTTTTCCCGCTTTAAATTTAACTTTTTGAAAATATTAATTTCATATTAAGTGCATCACAGAGTGTCTTCAACTGAATGGCGTACTTTTCAGTTACAAATTTATAACGCATTTCAATTTCCTGCCATTGCTTAGCTGTTATAAATGGCAATTTGTTTTGATTAATTAATATTTTTTTCACAAAGCACCGGATTCTTCGCCTTTTTCGCTCCTGTTTTCAATGTTGATTTTAAAATTCCGCCATATTATATACAACATTCCTTTCTCGTGATGACTTGATTCTACGGTTGCTACCTATAAATATGACCAAAAAAGACCGTCGAATTCATCCAATCTTTTCACTCCCATTCAGCCACCCCCAACAAAAAAAGAAAAGGAAATTAAGAAGAAAGGAATTCAGACCATGAAGTGCCTCAAGTTCTTGACCATCCTATTTCTCATTCTTCCCTTTGCTGCTGGTAAACTATCTCTTGTTAATCTTTTCTTTTCTCAAAAATTAATGCTTTTTTTTTTCTACGTCTGAACTCTCAATGGAATATGGTTTTAGGAACAACTGAAGTAATGAAGGACGAAAAGGTTTGTGTCCAGCCCTATGGCATCAAGAATTGCACAGAGAAGACCTGCAGCGAGTTCTGTGGAAACAAAGGTGCAGTCGTTTCTAGATGTTCTAGTAGCATTTCTTGTACTTGCCTCATACTTTGTTGACTGGTCCCATATATTTTAATAAAATCTAGAATTTAATCAGGGTATGGGCTTTTCCAGTATGAGCATTATTGTGTGACTAAATAAATTAATCTTAATGGAATAAAAGAATATATTAGCTTCTATACCTCTACTTTCTTTGACAAATTTCAATCCATCTCCCAATCTAATTTATAACACTATAATTGTTTCGTTGCCAAGTAATGGGAGACTGTCAAAGATAGCAAGGGTCACTAGCGGAGACACAGGGGGCCCTGAGGGGGCACATGCTCCCCCTAAACTTTTAAGAAATAGACTATGGTCCTTTAAGTTATATTTTTATTATTTTAATTCTTGTTTATTTCGTACATTTTAATTATTTTTTAACATTTTTTTTCAAAGATAAAATATAATATAATAAAAAATAAAATTTAATGATATTAGTGCGAATTAGTCTCCAACTCTAAAAAAAATTAGAGTTCCAACCTTTATTTGGAAACCAAAATTTCAATTTAAAATTTAAAAACGCACCTCATTAAATATTGATATTTAAATTCAGAAACTAATTATATATTCTAAAATAATCAATTTTCAAATGTAAATATCAACATTTAATAAAATAAATTTTTAAATTTTAAATTGAGTTTTAATTAAATAAAATGACATAATTTAAGGTTAAGATTTCAATTTTTTTGGGGGTCG